TTCATTTTTCACATACAACAATTAGGCCACGGATATGAAGGATATATTTATACATAAAGGTACAAAAACAGAGGATAACTAAAATACGATTGTTATATTTTGATGCCAGAATTTCTGATAAATTTAACAACGAGAATGATCACATCAGATCTACCTAGCGAAAATACATGAGATGTATTTAGGGGGGCAGATATGCCAGATTTCACCAAATCGGAGTAGAGTGCATTGCAGTGATCCAGGAATTTAGCGCAACCAAAGAAACAGTGATCCAAGTCACCATAAACTTCACAAACATCGCACAGTGCAGATGGGACCAAATTTAATCTTGCAAGGTGTGATGGAAAAACACCATGTCCTATTTTCGCACGGGTGATGCAAGAAATATATTTTCTGGGTATTTTGAAATTTTCGTTCCAGTATCCTCGTGGCAGGCTAGGGTGTACGAGGTTGTATCTTGTAGGATTAGTAAAACAGTATTCTATCCATTCACTGCGCCATCGCTTGAGCAAATTACCTTTAAGTATCACTCGATTGTCTTGCATGCTTAAGGGTATGTCCAGCTTAGTTCCAGATGTTTGTTATACTCACCTTAGCTAGATCGTCAGCTTTTTCGTTGTGTATTATCCTAGAGTGGGTCTTCACCCAAACTAGTGTAATCCTGAGGCCTCGTTGTTTTAGCTGACTTATTTTCCATCTTATGTTGAATAAGTGTATATTTTGCATATCGAAAGGACTGCCGTTTTTTAAACTACTGACAACAGAGAGGGAGTCCGAGAATATAGACGTGTTACCAAGATTGTGGTCCTACAAACTGTAGGGCTTGGAATATAGCAATAGCTTCTGCAGAAAAAACCGTGAATTCATTTGGTAGTTTAAACATGGAAAAAATATCTATTGAAGGAATATAATGAGCGCATCCCGTTCCTGACGCCGACTTCGATGCATCGGTGTAAATGAATGCATCACCTGCTAATTTACTCTGCACTTCTCGAAGTAGGTTCTGAATGTGGTGTGGTTGTTGCTTGTAAGCTGGTACTCTAACATCAAATCCTGATAGTAAATGAAAGTAACTTATATCTTGGATCAATCGTTGGCTATGAGAGGTTAGTTGTATTCTGTTGGCATATTGTATGGCACTGCATAGAGGCGGGGAGTTTCTTTTGGTCCAATATTTGCATGTCAAGTCCATGGTGTTTAGACGATGAATTTTTCTCAGTAAGTGGCTGTCCGCGTGTTGTACCTTAAGTAGAAATCTGCTAGATAACATTTGCCTTCGAAGATGTAAAGGAGGCTCCTGTGCTTCTGCTCGCAAAGGTCCGACTGGTGACGATTGCATTGCTCCAAGACATTTCCTGAGAAATTTATTCTGAGTTATATCTAGCATATGAAGGAGATTTTTACTGCCAGAGCCATAGAATATGCTGCCATAATCAAGGATAGATCTAACATATGATCTGAAGAATAATATTGCGATCTTTTGATCGGAGCCCCACCATACCTTGCAGATCATCTGGAAAAAATTGAAGGCTTTCTCACATCTACTGACTACTTGTTCGATATACGGCTTCCATGTGAGCTTTTTGTCAAGGGTTACGCCGAGATATTTGACAGAAGTTTCAACTTTGAAGGATAACCCTCCCAGTAGTATGTTCCTCTGTAATGATACATTGTGTCGTGAGAAAACGCAAAAGGATGATTTTTTCAACGATATGTCGAAACCATGTTCCATTAGCCACTGTTTGTAGTGTTCCATTGAAGAATTTAGCGTAGATATACATTGATTAAGTTGACGGTTCTCTATATATACACAAATATCGTCTGCATACTGGACCAGCTGACATGGAGTTTGCACATCATGTAAGTCTGCCGAAAAGATATTGAATAAAATTGGGCTTAAAACTGCGCCCTGTGGGATACCTTCCTGCACTAGTCGTGGTCCAATCTTTCCGCCACTGTCGTTGCGTAGAAAAATATTCTTATCACGGTATAGGTTTGTTACAGTAAAATTAAAGTGAGGTGGGATGCCAAATTTTTCCAGTTTGTTTCGAAGTATGTTTAAATTGATGTTGTCATATGCACCTGTAATGTCTATGAAGATGCCTGCTAAGTAGTTGTTTCGCGTGAAACACATCTGAATGTCGGTGACAATATTCGTAATAGCGTCTGCTGTTCCAACTCCTTTCTTGAAGGCATATTGGTTGTTAGGAAGTGGATGAGATCTAAACCACCATTCCAGGCGATTTTTGATCAATCTTTCAAAAGTCTTCATGAAGCAGGATAAAAGAGATATCGGGCGATATGAGTCAGCGCAATTGGGATCCATGTTTGGCTTCAGAATTGGAACTATAACGATGTTTTTCCATTGGCTAATTGTGTCTGCATTCAGCCAAATGTTGTTAAATATATCCAGAAGGAATAGTTTTGCATTAGATGAGAGGTTCACGAGCATTGGATATGTGATATCATCGCAGCCAGGTGATGTGTTTCTGGTATCTTTAACTGCAAGATTTAGTTCCGTCATGTTGAAAGGTCTGCTGAAAAAGTTGTCTTGATGTAAACGTGGGGGAGGTTCGACTTCTGCAGCCACGAAGGACGGAGAGCATTTTCTATGGAGGTCGTCTGCCCAAACAGAATTAGTTGATGCTTTCTTTCCCATGGGTATCCTTCTGATGATTTTAGCCTGTTTCCAGAGATCGGTTGATGACGTATTTTTATTCAACTTAGATATCCATGCTTTCCAGATATTTTTTATTTTTGTTTGAAGAGTTTCTTTGTTTCAGCAAATACCTTCTTGCAGTGGACGAAGTTGGCTAAAGAACTGTCCTGTTTGTACGTTGCTAAAGCTGAGGTCCTTTGTGCAATGGCACTTATACACTGTTCATCCCACCAAGGAGGGGGTGGCCGTTTCTTTGCTTTAAATGGCCTTAGTATAGGGATGGAGATCTCGCTAACATCATTGATCTTTTCAATGAGATAATCGTATTTACTTTGAGTGGAGTAAAATTCTGGAGTAGAATCGAAAATATCTTCCAATAAGTCATGATACAAACTACAATTGGCTTTTTTCATATTCCACTTATACTTAGGATAGATTGTGTCATATACTTGGAAAGATAGAGGAATTAACATAAGAATAGGAAAATGGTCCGAACCTAATGTATCAGAAGTAAGTTGCCAATGACTTATTTGTGCAATATCTCGGGAGCAGATTGTAACATCTGGGGCAGTTACCTGCTGATTTGGAGCTACAAGCCTAGTAGGCGAACCATCGTTCATAACGACTAAATTCTTTGATTCGCATATATTTATTAACTGATAACCTATGGAATTATTAAATGAGGATCCCCAGAGATGAGAGTGTGCATTAAAGTCTCCACCAATAATAGAAGATATGCTGGTATTAGAGAAGATTGTGTCCCAATCACCAGCTGTTGAATTGATGTTCGGGGGCCTGTATATAGACAACAAAGTTAAATCAAATGTTTGGTTAATAAGATTTATCCCGCATACAAGTATATCATCATTAAAATTATTCGAAAATGATATTTCACAAAATTTTATACCTTTTTTCACAAAAATGGCTACACCAGCTTTGCCATCAATTCTGTCCCTCCTCACAATATTGTAGCCATGATATCTGATAGTATCGTTTGGCTTGAACCAAGTTTCGCTTACTAGGGCTACGTCAATATCATTTTTTGAAAGGAACATATTCAAACTGTTTCGATTGGACACAGCGGAACGTGCATTCCACTGCATCACCTTTAGCACATTATCGGTATTATTGAAGACGCTAAGTGGAATTTATTAACTTATCTATTATGCAATGTATTTCGTTTTTCAATGTATTATTACTGATTTTCTTAAGATCACCTAAGTTTTCGGATTTGTTTACAAGTTCAAAAAAAATTTTTGAAACTATGTCAACCATTTCGTTTTTTTCTGAAATATTCGACTGATAGATCCTACTTGAAGTTACTGGAATAGGAGGTCCTGCACTAAAAAAATGTTTCTCTGTCGGAAAATTTATAGGGGGCGATTGAGCTTTACGTTTTTTATTTGCACTAAATGCTGTAGAGGAAGGTCCAGTATTTGTCATCTGATGAACATGTTGCCTGCTAGGAGAAATTGTTTGAGGGCGGCTAGGGAGATGTGGGAAGGTTACTTCGTTGATATTTTCCAATACTTGGAATCTATTGGAGGTTGAAACATGGTTTGAGTAAGAGTGTTCTATAAATTCTTTGGCTTCTGTGAAGGGTAGATTTGATGTGGCCATGGTCTTTTTAATTTTTTGTTGCTTCTGAAATGAAGGACAATCTTTTGATGTGGATCTGTGCGAAGAGTTTTTACAGAAAAGACAGTAAGTATTGGTTTCATTACATGTATGTTCATCCTCTTTGACTTGACCACATCTAATACACCTGGAGTGAGTACTGCGACACTGTCCAGAAACATGTCCAAAACGCAAGCATTTATAGCATTGTATTACCCTTTGTACAAATGGCTCAACTTGAAATAGCACGCTGTTTATATAAAGTTCGTTGGGAAGCATATTGCCATTAAATGTGACAACTGCCATTTGCCTAGGAACTAACTGATGAGTGCCATCACTAACAATTTTTCTCTTTAGACGCTTGACCTCCAGTACGCTTATATCAGAAATTATATTTTCTTTTAAATATTCCTCACTAAACTGAGTATCAACACCCTTGATTAAACCCTTTCTTATTAATAAATTATTTGGGATGTATGCTTTTAGATTCTCTGCTGCGAGTTCAGTGTTACAAACTAAGTGATTAGCATCGTTCAAATTTTTGAGACCTACTTTTATACGATTTAAGCCGACCCGGCTAATAGTCGTTATTTTATCATTCAATTTGAGGTTTTTGTGGAGTATATGTCCTACGTGAAGCGGATGTAGTCTGCCAATATTTTGGCTGTTGGTCTTCTCAATAAACACATAAATATTATTATTTGAGTAATACTTAGCGTTTTCAATCTCAAACAGTCCGTGGTTGTTGTTGTTGTTTTTTTTCTGAGATGGTATGCAGGTCCTCTGTTATCGCAGCGTTGTATTCGCTCGAGTTGACGCCGGAATTTATTTCACACTGAGGAGAATCTTCACTAAATGTTAAATCATACACAGCAATGTTCACATTAGTGTTACTACCACTGGGGCCTCCCACCCCTGTAGGAGGTGGAGGCATATTTAGGAAATGTATTTAATTAATCTATATAGAACCCGGTAACCCTCGCTAACTATATTATATGATCGCTCCGATACAGGTACGTCTTTCTTGTAAGACAGCCGAAGCGGAACTGTCGTTGCTGGTTCAGGAACCAGAAATCAAGTATTATATCCATTCTTCTATACATAAGTTTCTATGTACTACTCCATAGTGGTAACAAGTTACTGCTACTAATTATATAACGGCCATTCGGATTAACCCTTTCCATCAACTAACTATAACCGGATGCACCAATTGACATGAATAACTAAATTGCTGTTGAAACCCTGATTCGTCTACAAGCGAATCTCGGACATACCTATATAGACGTGTAACTATCCAAAGAGCAGTCCTTCCGAATCTCGGACCACGGAAGGTCTCTGTATACAAAGACTTATATCTTACTATAAATAGGGATTCAAGATTTGAATCCAATTTCGAATCTCCTATACAAATACATCGGTGTCCGAGCGGTTTATGATACATTCGACTTGAGAAATTCATATCTGAACGTTCAGCGGATAGCCCGAGGAGAGAGATATCGAGAAATATGGTTCAGTCCTATGAGACACTTCATGGACATTGAGGGTGGCGAGCACCAACTAAAATAATTCAAAACTAAGTTAGTTTGTTGCTGGAAATATATGAAATTCGTGGACTAATTGGTTCCGTCTAGGCGATGATAGAAGTGTGTAGCATCAGTTGTAAGAATACTATCTGATTAAGAGACAGAAGTTCGGAAATGGGATATTAGATATTGTACATTACATAGTCATGCCTCTTATTTATTTTGGTCTGTCTGTCTGTCCCCTAATCTTTGACCCGTCTATATCTTAAGAAGGTCCGCAGGGGTTTTACGTAAAAAAACGAAAAAAACTTCAAAAAACCCGACAAAATGTCCTCTTTCAGACTAGGTAGTTTTTAGGGTGCAAATAGCTCACTATAATCGTTGTGAGCGTCATCAAAAGCGTCCATCTATGGAGGATGACTCAACCGCACAACACGATCAAGTCTATGTTCCGTCACCCAGCATGCCTTATTGGTTGCCAGAAATTAGACATGCAAGATCGCATCTGGATGATTATGTATATAAAATATTTGCTATGTGACAAAATTATTACTGAATATGCTGGCAATGAAGTACAAATATATCTGTTAGCTGTACCCGACAGGTTATTTATATTGTGCCTTTTTTGAAGACAGGTTATGTTCAGAGCTATAAATTACGATTTATCCCGCTTCTTTTTCTTTGCATTTTCAAGATCTTGATAATTACGGAAGATCAAATCCTCACTATGTACCTATGCACTGCGGTTCCCTTTCAGCTATAGTATACAACTTACAGCTTAGTCCTCCAATAATGCCATCTCTGAAGTAATTGTTACATCACATCAGAGTCAAATATTGATAACCGAAGCATCATTACGTTTAGGTAACATCTTGTAGGAAAACCTACGTTATGTCACAAAAAACCTACAAAATGTCAAAAAAAGCGGCAAAATGCCACTTTTCAAGATTCGTGATACCCGTGCCGGTCGGATTTTAATGAAAAATTTCACACAGTTTTACTACTATACCAAGCTTTGTAGCTTTGGAAAAAGAAAACAGCCAAAACCTTGTTTTTTTGACGTCTTGACCTTTTACAAAAAAAATTTGTAGGGGTTGAAATTTGGGGGTTGGAGGTTGTAGGGGTGGGGGATGGTTTATGAAATGTTTTTGATCCTACTATATTTATTCGTTCCCAACACCGGTAATTTTATCCATATGTTAACCATAATACACACATCATGGATTTACCCGTACATTTGCCTTTAAAACTGATGGAGAAATGTTTTCGATCCACGTACTCTTTACTATCTAGGTTCACCGTCCGGCTTATACTCGTACATCTATCCATATTGGAGCGCAAAAACATATTCACGCAAACGGGGACCTTGCACGAAATGAAAGATAACTTGCTGCAGCGATGCCACGCAGATGTGAGAAGGGACAACCTTGCCACACGGCAGTAGGGCAGAGCAAAGGATGTCTATGGACTTATTGTATATGGGACTGTTTGACTAACCTAATACGTTTAATTTCTCTGTTGTACATGTCCGTAACTGATTTTTTTTTTGTTACGATTTGAATTGCGCTAAACTCAATCCTCTATGTACTGATGACAGCGTTGCGTAGGAAGCACAGAGTCAACCCACTTGACGCCATTCTTTTTTTGGAGGATTGTTTCTAAATTATCCAGAAATAGACACTTCTTTAGTGCAGTATAATTTTGGAGCCCTATAATGAAAAAGCAATGAGTGAGCCGGCTAGTCCTCGATTAAAAATGGTGTGCATGCCTGTCTGGCATGATTAGAAGGTCTAAGGTTATTTTACATTTTGTCAGCTAGCCTAACGTTCCAGATTGACTTGGATGTTCTTACTGTATACACGAAACTTCCTTTAATTACTGTTGTTTCACTGAACTATACCCATAAGAAGCTGACTAGCCTGCGGAAGTTGCTTCCGAAAATAACCCTTCGAAAGAATAAAAAGCGGCTTCATAAGGCGTTCCCGAGGATATTGAGAAAGTTGAAGTAATCGCTTCGAAGTTTCCAGCGCCCTCCTCTCCTAAGGATTAATACTTCACATAGGTTTACAGGATTATATCAGGCTACTCGAAAAAAGTGGAAGATTCGAAACATAGAGCTTAAGATTTGTGATGAGATAGAGATTAACGAAAAGAGGATTATGTTCATTCGAACATATTCTACAGAAACACAGTTTTTCTTATCTTATTCATGTTCAACAGAATGTAAAAGAATTAAGTAATTTATACAGAGTGTCCAAAGAAGAGCTGTTCCGGTTATACCAAAAGGGGATATCAACTTGCTTATCTAAAACGGGACGTCATGTAAAGGGTGGGCCATAAGTGTTTTTTTCAAGTTGATAGTATTTTGACAGTTGGTAACACTTTCATGCTCAACATATTGACAGATATATTGTGTCAAACTTCCGCTGTTAGCAATGGATCGCTTTAATCTTGAACAAAGGTGGGAAATATTGAAAAACTATTCTCAACGTGTGCTGTGTTGCAGAAACTTTGCGAAAGTTGAGACGACTATTTGGTCGGAATGAAGCTCCGCACGGGTATTACGTATCATCAGAAGTGACATTACGCCAATTTTTTTTGACATTATGCTGGTTTTTTGACATTATGTAGATTATTCTACAAGATGTTAACTTAGCATGGCATTACTGGAGTTCTAAGCTGTATTTTGTGTGTGCTGATGATAATTACATTGGGTTCTTGTCTCAAATACACTTAATTGAGATTAAAAGCTAGAAATTAGTTGCGCATCCACTTTTTCTTATCCATTCTGGAAATAACATATACAAAATTTGCTGATTTTCAAAAATGAGAGAGATAAGAAATAATTATATTCACTGTACAGTGTAATTACACACAATGCGGGCGCGGTGATGATTTTCCGTAATTCTACTCAGTTTTTCGTAATTGATAACTGGTTTTGATAAATAGCACTGCAGTTTTTTAAATCATACCTAGCCCACCGTTCTCAGCGCGTCTCACTTTCTGAAGTTTTGTTAAATGAGCACTTTATTACTTCTGGTGTGCCTCAGAGCTCAATTTTAGGACCCTTGTTATTTTTAATTTATGTAGCCGATATTGCTAAGTCCATTCAAAATTCACAGCTACAGTCTTATGCGGATGACACTCAACTGCTTTACTCCTTTTATCCAGACTGCTACTATGGAAATTAACGAGGACATTGACTCTATTTGCACCTACTCCGCCAATAACAGCCTAACCGTTAATGCTTCTAAATCTGCTGTGCTGTTTTGTCCAAATCACAGAAGAGCCGAAGTCAAAGTTTCCTTGAGTATATCTATTATCAATCAAAATCTTCCTTTTTCTGAAAGTGTCAAGTGTCTAGTTGTGTTTATTGATGAAAACGTGCGGCTTCGTGAACATTTAAATAACCTCTTACAAAGAAGTTACATTCGTCTGAGAACTTTGTATGCGAACACAAATTTGCTGAATTTTAAAGTGCGAAAAAAGTTGTGTCAATCTTTTGTGTTATCAATTTTTAATTATTGCAATCTAGCTTATCATCCTTGTTTGGATGTTGCAAGTCGTAACAGAATATCTGTAGTCCAAAATAACTGCGTACGATTTATATTTACTTTAAGAAAATTTGATCATGTTTCGGATCGTTATCCTTTAATAGGTTGGTTAAAGATGACAGAGTTAGTTAAATACAACTATCTAACCTTTATACATAAGTTACTTGTCTCTGGAACTCCAATTTGTTTACGTGAAAAACTAATTTTTAGGTATAATGTTCATCAACGACATATGCGTAACACATTCGCTTTAACAATGCTACTTCACAGTTCATCTGTTTTTAACAGGTCCTTCTCATATAATGCATGCATGTTGTACAATAGCTTAGATTACAGAACAAAAAGCCTGCCGCTGTATAGTTTTAAAAAACACTTAAAAGCTCTTCTACTCAATGGTGCTTCTTAAAGGTGTTTTTCTCCAGTATTATATTTTTAAGCTAATTTTTGTTTAGGTTGTGATCAGTTACATGGGCATTTTCCTCCTTTTATTTTCTTTACAGCTGTACTTTTTTACCATCTATTATTCTTATGCAGTAAATGGTAAGTAAGTGTAAGAATAGCTGTCATAGCTAAACTTCGCCATTAAGCTGCTTACTAATCTAATTATAGATAATAATAGATACATTATCTGTAATTTGTTTTTTCTAATAAAAGACGGTTTATTATTATTATTATTATTATTATTATTATTATTATTATTATTATTGTTATTATATTATTAATTAGCGTACTCTACATGAAGTCAGCAAACCTATCTGCGACAAAAGAATTGCCCGGGATGAAGAAAGATACCCCGACTTCATCTATGAAAACTTGTCACAGCAACGTTCCTCCTTTCTGAAATAATTCGAAACCTA